GAATAATTGGCTGGCCATGTCCGAATGTCTGCATGTTCTGCCTGGATAGCGTCTCACAGCCCTACAACTTGAGAAAGTTTGGCGGCCAGTCGAGTCAACGCTGACAGGCAACAGCCGGTTTGAGGTGACACGGAGATGGCCTCTGGAGGTTTTGGTGTATTTTATCTTGCCCCATCTCGGCACTTCCAGCGAGTCAACTATGCCCCCGTTGACCCTCGTCATTTTCAGTGTGTCTACTCTTCAGATACCGAGACTTCAGACCTTTGTTGAACCCATTGCAGGATCAGTCGTCGAGTCAGGATGTCTGCTGAGTCTATTATTAACGAGGCGTTGAAGGGTGATGAGGACTTCTCGGTCATCGAACGCTTAGCTGATGCTATTCGCATCGAGGAAGACGTTCAAATCAGCCAGGAGGACCGCAAGGAGATCATACAAGATCTCTACGAGGGCCCGAAGAAATGCCAATGTTGCATCAACTGGATGGACGAATGTCCCCACGGCGTTGATCTAACGGAAGTCGATAAAGACGATGAGGATGAAAGCGGCAGCCCCCTGGTCATCCGACGTCGAGTGAATGCCGGCCGTACTGGCACAATCATTTCCATTCACTCAATCGAGATTCGACATGCGGCCACTCGAAAAGTTTTGATCGACGTCTTCAAGCCTTACGACAACATCGTGCAACGAGTGAAATATCTCACATTTTTGGCACCCTTCCACCAGTTCTTCTGGCGCTGGGAGCGCTTCGAGAAAGCTGTCGCAGAGGAGAAGGACGAAATCGTGAAGAAGATCTTGGTCATTCTGAGGGGATTGGTCAAGCGTGAACTAGCAGGGGCATTTGCAGTTAACAAGGAACTCGTCAGCCACGGAGTCATCACATTCAACTACCTCTGGATCTTGTTCGCGCCCGGAGAGCTGATATACTCGGCTGATGATAGTCACGACCGCTTCTACGTCCTTCGGTCATGCTCCTCGAGAGACATCGCGATCGACCTGAGTCTCTCCTACATCGCCTGGGGTTTCCCAGCCATGCAGTTCGGTACGGTTCACGAGGACATCCCGATTGACAATTTCCTAGGGACTCGCTCAATCGAAAGCCTACCTGCTTTTCCCGCCAAGTATCTCCGCGACTTCTCAGGAATGCAAGCAAAGCTGGTAGGGAGAGGCCGCAAGTACGCGAGTCTGGCTGGTACTCATTACAAGGCATACCATCCAGCGGGGGATGATCCTAAATCCGAGCTTCGTGTGATGATCGATCCCAGTCACAGAAGAGTATATCTCTCAGCCTACGTCGACGATGGACGCAAAGAAAGACTTCAGCCGCTTTTCAGCCAGTACACCGACCTCATCAATCAGTCACCAGTGGACTCCCCTCCCCCAAATGGCATACACATCCCTCTAGAAGAGTACATTGATGAGTGGGACGAGAGACCGAGAGGCGGTCGCCGACCGATGCGTCACCCCGCGCCTCGACGAGTGTCCCCGTACTACCCACCTGTCGCGCCCAGACGAAGATCCCCGGTCGTGATCGAGACTGTCCGAAGGCGCCGAAGCATCTCTCCGGAATTCAGTAAGCAAATACCCCACGAACACCAATACCATATCAGTCTAACACAACTTCCAGGGCTACGTGATGAGGATATTGAGGAGAATTCCAGGAAACACCTTACAGAGTTTCATTTACAGCTCATGGACCCCGAGGTCGATGGATTTGATCTCAAGGAGAAGACTTGGAGTAAGTATCTGATAGAACACTACACTGCTAGACTTTTGACATTTTCTAATCCTTCGGAATAGGGAGCTTTGAAGTAGACCGGATTCATGATATCGAATGGAACACGAAACCCTTCGAGAGTCTGGTGCTGCCTGAAGGATACAAGGATCTCATACTGGCTTTCGTTGAGAGTCAAGTCAAGGACAAGGTTGCATTCGATGATGTCATAAACGGAAAGGGTAAGTTGTAGAAGGTCACTAATAGTTGATGTGTTGGAGGTACATCGCTAACATTCTATAGGTGGTGGGCTCGTAGCCTTGCTTGCCGGGGACCCAGGTGTCGGCAAGACTCTCACTGCCGAGTCTGGTACGATTCCATATACTTTCGGAGATCTCTAAAGATCAGACCTGGAGCTGACTATTGTGATAGTTGCCGAGAAGATACAGGCTCCCCTATTCAAGATGGAGTTAGGAGATTACCATGAGGACGACCGCGACAATGACGCTGTCCCAGTACGCTATGATGACCGGAACCGATCCTTGAGTCCCCGTCCCCGAGATCCTGATCGTTCAATGAGCTTCACAACTGCATTTGAACTTGCTGCTCGCTGGGGAGCCGTTCTACTGATTGACGAGTGTGACATGTACTTGGAGAAGCGTAGTGATGCTTCGACCAAACGAAACAGGATGGTGTCCCGTAAGTAGCCCTGACATTACGTCTTTGTACTCATCTGACCGAGACCAAAATCCGTACAGGCTTCTTGAAAGAACTCGAGTACTACCCGTCTCTTCTCTTCCTGACGACGAACCGCGAGCGGTCCCTTGACCCTGCCATCTACTCCCGTGTCCATCTCAATATCAACTACCCCGCCTTAGAAGAACCCTCTCGTCTGAAAATTTGGCAGACGTTCCTGGAGAAGAACAGCTCAACCATGTCAGAGAGTGAATTTGGATCTCTGTCAAGGATCAATGTGAATGGTCGGCGCATTCGGAACATTGTGAGGACAGCTGGTATCATGGCAAAGAAAGACGGAAGAGCGGTGAACTTTGATGACGTTAGAAAGGTCATGAAGATCACAGAGGGGATAGATATCGAGGACTCTTAGCGATATTGATAGTTGAGAGTGTGGTGGATTGCTGCTCATCTCATTTGTCTTCCCAACAAACTCAGAGTTGTCTCCGCGATGATGTCAAACGATGATTGTTTTCCAGAGTCACGAGCTGAAGATTGGGTAGTGGATGCTCAGTGAAATACGAAGAAATACGGAATAATGTCTTAGGTTTGTGCAGGATGAAACACAGAAAGAGCTATATACAAGAGAATGGACTGTATTCGGGTTCCGTCAAACTTTTGACGCCCTTGCATCTGGAAATAGCTGTATCACGAGCGTTGATGGCGTGGTCTTCAGACGAAGTGCGTATCGATGGTCTTCTTCATATCCTGAGCAATCAATTTGTGTCCAGCAGTCGTTGGTTGAATGAAGTTCATCCAGAAGTACTCATTGGCGTGCCCGTCAATCATGCAATCTGTCCACTGAGCCGTCTCGTCTCCGTCACAAAAGAGGTTGAGAGGCTTTGGGAAGCCATATGCCTTGGGGTTGGCCAATACCTGAATCATGAAGCTGAATGCATCATAGTAGATGACTTTCTTGCCAAACTGCTCGAGGCTCTTCTGGATAGCCGAATTTGCTTGCTGGATTACCTGACCCCAGGTCTTGACGCAGTCGGCGTTGGTACCGCAGAGGTACTTAGGCGTCACCGGGGCGAGATGCTTAGGGTAGATATTGGCGACCATAACGTACGGTGCTCCCTTATCAATGAGGTTCTGAACCTGCGCGGTGATCTTGACTGCCGCGTCGGTTGCAAACTGCGCGTTCTTTGGATCGCCTAACCAAAACGCGTCGGTATGCATGCTGAGGTCGTTCTCGCCGAACCAGAGGAACTGCAGAGAGGAGCGAATACCCGGGGCGCCACGACCGGTGTAGTTGGCAACCTGTCCAATCATGTCTGTCGCCCCAGCCTTCGACTTGGTGTAGGCGTTGTCAAAGGTCGCCCCAAAATCGCCTCCACCGCAGCACCCGCCGAATGCATAGTCTGTCAGCGGAACCCGGAGTAGGTCGGAGAGATAGGACACAGCGACCGGGCCGTTAGTCCATGTTCCGAAGCCGTACACATTGGCTGGATCGCCGGTGATGCCGTGCGCAAAAGAGCCGTTGCCGTTATCACTCAGTTCATCGCCGTAGGCTATAAGGTTGTTGAATGGATAGGTTGTCCGACCCGCCAAAGAGGCGTCCTCAATCATGCGCGCTGCGATGAGAGGGAGAATAGAAGTGATGAGACCCGCGCTGTAAATCATTTTGGAGGGTGAATGAGTGTGAACTGGAAAGGAGAATCAACCGAGATCAAAAGAAGATTGCGATAATGAAGCTCTGGAGAATTTGAATTCGATTGAACCAAACAAGATGCAGAAGGCTGAAGATATTAAATAGCAGCTGAGGAAGAGCAGGCATGCTCATGAAGGCCAAACAATAGCACGCTGTGTTCCTTGAGGGTCTTACGGATTTACAACCTAATTTCATTTCTAGGTCTGTGGCGGCGATGGCGTTGATCAGTGTCGCACCAATCTGGCTGGTCGCATTGACTGCAGCGCTCCTTCAAGGGGTGAGAAGCCCAAAAGCATTTCTTTTGCGTATCACTACTGCACTGAGGTGAGGTGGTCTAGGCCAGACGAAGGAAGCATAATTCCGATGCCTAAAGCTTCTCAGTCTGGCTTCCATATGAGTACAGCCTCATTCAACATTTCTATGGGGTTTCTGTGGTTACCAACAACCACGGAAACGACTCAAACCTTGGAAAGGCTGTAAGTTCCAAAAAAAAAAAAAAAAAAAAAAAAAAAAAAAAAAAAACAGTCTCCAACTTCTGCGATCCTTCGAATAACCGGAAAGGGAGACCCTGCCTTGCACATGGCAACGGTGCACTTACTGCGAGTCACAGTTATGCAGCGGCCTACATTTATCCTCATGAGTTCGAATAGAAAGGGACTTTGGTTGAGTATCGTTGAAAAGATTCTCCGTGACGTGAGCCACCAATCCACAGCCCCAGCGTGGTTGATAAGCTAAGCAGGTCATACCAGGCCCAAGAAAACAGGCCACATACAAATATTGCATACTCAGGTTCCCCTCACCGACTTGTTCAGTCCCGCATTTAATAGGTGGCTTATTGCATGAGAACAATTGAGCTCACTCTCTCCTTTCGACCTTTGATCGCTCTGGCACATACTCTATGCAATGACCTCCATAACCGTTCTCCGAGATGTCTCACCTACCCAACTAGACGAGCTGATCGAACTTGCGTGCCGCATTTGGGTTGATGATCCAGCTTTCTCGATGCTATTCACCAAGCATCACGACAACAGGATTGAGAACGTTCGTGTGATATGGCGACTCATTCTCAGATATGAGATGGCAAAGGCTGGTACCATGATAACCGTCGCTAGGGATGTGTCCGAAGCCGGAGGGGGACAGTATGTTGGCCTCGGCATTTGGCAACGACATGGCACGTCCGCGAAAGCAAAGTCGTGGCAGGTTAACAGCCTGCGCAAACGTTAGCCTCAACTCAGTTAAACCGCAGAAATGTCTAATCCACTAACTCTTCCCTCTAGGTCTCATGATGCTGCAAGTTGCTTTGGAATACTGGTATCGGCTCTTGGTCGGGTCTTTGCCAGCCAGCAAGGTCAAGGAGTTGATGTGTCAGCTGAATAAAGCCCAGAACATGTATCCAGCTGAACGATGGCGTCTGTGTTGGCTTGGCGTATGTCCTGACGCTCGAGGTCGCGGTGTTGGGAGGGGACTGATTCAATGGGGGCTTGACCGTAGCGATGAAGAAGCTGTGCCCACGGTTCTAGAAGCTAGTAACGCGGGTGCTATTTTGTACAGAAAATACGGCTTCAGGGAGATTGGGAGGCAGAGTTTTGATGACGGCAAGCATACACAGCCCATTATGCTTAGGGATGTAGTCGGGTCAACTCCGTAGGTGTGGGCAGTGCCGCTATGCTATGTGTTTCCAAGTTAAAATTTAGAATCATCTCATCTGAACAGTGTCTACGGGGGAAATCAACGCAAAGGATATAAAGGAATGAGGGAACACGAAGGATTAGGTATGTCCTGGTTCTCGAGTAGTGGAGTTGTGGGATGGAGATGCTCAAAATTGTGAAGTTGATCAAGCTTAGTTGCATTTCGAGCCGAAAATCAACAACTCCACAGGAACTCGACCTCACCATCAGTCCAAATCGTGGATACCGGCCGGCTGGCGCAATGGTAGCGCATCAGACTTCTATCTTCTCATCTATGAGATATAGTCATCTGGGGGTTGTGGGTTCGAGCCCCACGTTGGTCATTCTTTTGCACTTGGAAGCGAGTAGTCAGGGTTTTTTGTTGCTTGTCATGTAAAAACATCGAGATCTTCGAACAGAAATTTTCATTTAGTGGGTTCCGGCGGCTCCGGGCGGGGGCACCCCGTGAATTGAACCGGGGCGGAGCCGTCTCTGCAGGCTGTGGCTCGACATTAGTATCCCATCCGGTCCCGGCCAACGTAGTCGCCCACGTCTTCAAGTCTGCCATTGCGGCTTGCGTTTCTCAATAAAGGATGCGATTCCTTCTTGGGCATCAGCACTCCCCGCATGAAGCGCCATGACTCGTCCGGCCCAACTCGCCGCATCCTCATAACCATCACCTCCTCTTCCGTCAACATCGTCACCTTTGATGCCGAGCTGTGTCCAAAAGGCCCATTTACCGAGGGCCATCGGCTGGCCCGCTGACCCCGCAAGTCTCCCCACCACCTCCGCAACGCGCCCTTCGAAGGCGGCAGCCGCCGTGTCCGTGGATTCTGCATGCTCGGGCGTCGGCACCACATCGACAGCACCTCGCATGTCGTCAGCGGCGACCGCTTCGGCTGTGAGAAGAACCCGGTAAGCTTGGCCTGGTGGTAGGCGCCGGGATACGGCCGTCACGGGGCTCGTGCACGGTATTCCTATGCTCGCGCCGGGCAGCTGGAACTTGGTGGTAGACAGGGCGATTGGGTAATCGGTCGACAACGCGAGCTGGAGTCCGGCAGCCGTCGCGAGGCCATGGATGGGACAGATGACGGGTGCCGGGCTCTGGCGAATGAGAGACATGACTTCGGCGCAGAGAGTAAACGTGCGCTTCACCTCCACACGCGAGAGCGAGGCCAGTTGTTTGAGGTCATGACCCGACGAAAAGACTGGCCCCGGACTGCTTCGGAGGACGAGGACGTTCGGGAGCCCGGCTCGCTCTCGGTTCCATTCTGCGGCATCGACGAGCCAGCTGTATCCTGACGAGCTCCTGTCGCCCGAGTCAGACGGGGAGCCTACCTTCTCGAGCTCTCGCAAGATTGGGGGTCTAAAGGGAGGGAGCGTTAGAACTCTGCCGGATGATGGTGACGTGAGGTGCGCGAGTAGCTGCGTGCGGAGATCTTCTAGTATCTCCAGACTCAGGGCATTGCGCCTTGCTGGGTTTCGAAGATGGATGTATGCGGCTTTCGCTGGAAGCTTTGGGAGCTGCATCGGAAATTCTAACCTCCTAAATCAGCACCGGGCGGTAGGTTAATAGGAGAGTTGATAGATGCAAGGCAATTGCCGATGTGGTAATCAGCATTCCTCTCATACAGGGTCTAGCCAATCCAGGTGGATGGAACGCGGGCGAGTAGAAATTCGCTTACCCCGCCAAGTTCAGACTCTCGCTCCCTCCACAGGCGAGTGGCATTTCACTCCTTGTCTCACCCGCCTCAAGAACAGCACATGTTTTTACGAGCAGTTTTTCTAGTTGCCGCCTTCTCCGCTGCAACTGAAAACAACTTAATTGTAAGCGTATGTTCCGTATCCATAGATCGACCGTCGGCCCTTTCACGGCCAGAAATGTCCAGTTGAACTGGTTGCTTGGCAAGATCGCCTGTGCTCCGGCAGGGCCGACTCTTGACTTTTCTGCCTCCCAGTTCACGTGTCAATGGCCCGAATATCTGGTGCAGAGGAGAAATCCCAAACAATAATGCGATTCATTGTTTAATCATAGTCTACTTTGACTTCTTGTGACTTTTGGCGTATCTCCAATGTCAACTTCTCCGGAACCATGTGCCGTATCATGTGGTATACCACAGTTCCATTCCTCCTCGGGTCTGGAAATTCGTGTCGAAGATCCAGTTCGGGTGATTCAAAAGGGTCTTCGTAAAACACCCCACCAAGCTTCTGAATGACCCTGCACCGCTCTTCCATATTTCTCGCGTTCTTTATCCGACCAACTCCCATGCTGCGACCGTCTTCCTCAAAGACCCGGAGAACCCAAGCGCCGCCCGTGGATGGGTACCCGGCAATGACATGATCGCTTCGTCGAGACGTTATTGGGTAGTCGCCAAGTTTGGAATAATCTTCTAGTTCGCGGGGGTATTCGCTATCAAACCACACCGCACCGAGCATGCGCATCCTCAAACAGTGCGCATCTTCCTCCGCCTGGTCTTCTGATCTTAATGTGGGTTCGAAACGGTCGAGCTGAAGGAATTCGAGGTCTACGCCAACGCAGTCGTCTAGGAAGAAAATCCCACCGTGGCTTGGCCATCCACGCACCGCCGTGCCGGATCTTATCCCGAACGAGGTTCTGTACTTTTGTTCCGGGGTTATCGCGTCCTTGTAGCCGCGGCAATAGGAGCAGCGAGAACAATTACCGCCATCGTCATCGTCGTAGCCGTCTGAAGATGGTATGATCGTCATGATTCGATAATACTCGACAGCCCAGGCTACTAGTCGATCGTAACATAGAAGTAAGATGCAATTGATATGGAGTACAATACTTGCGACGGTCTGAGCAATATTTGTAGAGGGGCAGTGAAAACATTCAAGGTCATTTTTCGCGAATGGCACTCCGGAGGCCGCAGGTTATCTCGGGAAATTGAAACTTTATTCCGCGAGGCCGAGTCGGTCACTTCCCTGGTTTTCTAGTAAACCGCCGACTGATGCCTATATCGCCGAGAAATGCAGCCAACTCCCGCTTTGTTGGCTGCCTGGATAGGAGATTACTTGCTTATGCCTGCAGCCTGGCCCAGAAGCATGGCATGGTCTGTTGGTTGCTGCCTTAGTCATTCAAACTCCCCGACAACAATGACAGGAAGTGTGTCGCAGTAGATGGTTTGATAAAAATAGAGCTTGGTCTTTCTATTGCACAGAGCTTTCTATCGATATTACCACAGTGTCCTTTAAACTTTATACACGTGTTGCACAAATGCGGTAGTCAAAGCCCTTGAAATTTGAAATGCTACGATACCTGCCCCTTCCCCGGACGGGTGCTTCATCATTGTGTTGTCAACAGTCTGGGAGTCTACCTGGCCAGTGGCAGCTACTTAATCAGCGGCGGGGGAAAGATCTCACCCGGTCATGGTGACACGATCGGGGGATATCTGCTTGACAAGCCGCCATGTGTCTCAACCACAGAACTTAATTTCTCAAAACAGGCAAATGGATAGGCCAAACTCAAACAACGCAGATTCACGACCCTCCTACTCCGTTCAGCACATACTGCCATACCGCATGATACAGCATGTGCTATTCACCCTGACCTATAGATCTAGTGTACGCCCAGTATCCTAACAACGAGCTCTGGAACCTCATCGGCCTCTTTGTAGAATCTCCCGCCGCAATTTTCGATCATCTGGCACCGTTCCTCCATGTGCCTCGCATTGTGAATTCTCGCAGCTCCAGCGTTAGCAGCCTCTGCCCTGGTGGTCTTCAGCAGCCAGAGACCACCCGCTGCTGGATAGCCAGCAATGACAACAGCATCTTCCCACGTGGAATTCCCAAAAGCCTGGTTGACCAGATAATGCGTCAGGCTCTTCCACCAGTTTGGCCCAAGCTTCATCATCCTTGCGCAGTGCGCATCCTCCTCTTCGGGATCTCCTGACCTGAATGAGTGCTCGAAGCGGCGCAAGCCCAAGAAGTCGAGTTCCACACCGTCGCACTTTAGCGTATAACATCCACCGGTGCTCGGATATCCATAGACTGTGGTCCAGTGACCCACGCCGAAGGCTGTACGGCGATTGAGGATTAGGCGTCCTGCGTCGTTGAAAGCGGCGACGAGGCGTTCTTCGCGTCTTAGTGCTTTACGAACTTGGTGCTCTGCTCGTCTTTCCACGCATCGACAACGTCTTTGGCCATGTCCGGCTTCCAATGCTGACGACGGTGCTTCGGACAGCATGGTCACTGCCGGCCGGCTAGGCGGTTCGGCTCGGGAAGACATGTGCGCTGAGAGTAAAACCATGGCAGTGTAGAATAGAATGGCAGCGGTGGCGTAGAGGGTGTGAGACATTGTTTTGGGCATAACTCGGTCGCTCGTCGGGCAGAATACACGGCCTCCCCTCTGGGTATCAAGACCGAGGTGTTCTTGGCGGCGGGGAAGCCTGAGGGCATTGACAGTGTGCTACTTGCTCTCAGCCCAGGGTTGCCGGCGGCATGCTTAAAGTAAATTTAATATAGTGCATCAGATATACAGCATGAAAGTGCGAAATCAGCAACCTAGTTTTGACGATGATACCGCGTTCTATATGGCCGCCTTCAAAGCGTCGGAGACTCCCAAGTCAATGCAATCATGGTGGCCTAATTGACGACGTTGGATTTGTCCTCTCATACTTGGCAGTTCAGGCACCCAAAGTAACTGAATATCCGCTTGAACACTACAAAAAAACGATGTAAATTACTCGATGTCGTCAATGGAACGACACGTAAGCTGTTGCTGCCTAGTTGCCAATCCTGAGACCGACATGAGCTATTGCAGCCTACCTAGTAACAAGAGGAGTGTCACTTTTGTGCAATGGTTAATGCAGACTATTGTGAAACATAGGCAGAGGCGTCGGTTTTATTTGGTGATATGTGTTTCGTAAGCAAACTTTCTTGCACCCTGATTGACGCAATAAGTTGAACCCGTGTATACGATGAAAGCTGAGTTACAGCAGTGAACGACGAACAAATACTTCATGCAATGCTTTTCCAACCAGTGCCACCCAGATTTGAGGAAACAATACGCTTATCCATGAGGGGGAATCATATGTTCGATACAAGGCCGTTTTCATAAAGAGGTCCGGTGGCTACATGTAGGTGCGTTCTCCTCAGGAACGTTGCCCAGCCATTCCATGACCAGAACAAGAATGCAACTATGGCTCGTGGTCGTCGTACGACTTTCGTCGTTGATCAAATATTTCAGTGAAGGTCACAACTTCTTTTTCGCCCAGCTCTATTGATGGTGGCGGCGGGGCTGGGTTAGGAGCAACTTCGACATTGGATATTGGAGTAGCTTTGCCGCTAGAGTTGATCCAATGAATGACAAATGCGGTGAAGAGAACTACCCAAATTTTAGAGTCTGATCAAAGTTGCAGAACGGCTCTAGCGAGGAGGGAAGACGAAGCGGGAAGGTACGGAGTAAACTTACTGTCCGTATTGCAACAGGTGAGACAAAGCCAAACTATCTCGCCTTCCAGAGCGACCAACACTGATAGGTTGCTAGAAGAGATCGATGTTAGCCTAATCAAGAATTTCATGCTTTCACATCATTTATCGCTTCTTACGCAATGCTAATGGCCAATGTGCCGATAACACCGGCAAACGTTCGTAATGCGAGTCTCCGTAGCCTTACGTTGGGCGGAACTCGAGAGAAATGAAGGGTATTCTCATGCATCGTCCATGGCTTCATCATCGATATTTGAATCGAGTGTAATCCTAATGACCCGGTGTCAGAGCTTGTCCAGATTCAGAGAGACTGAGGAGCCACATGACTTACTCAGTAGTGGAAACAAGAACAGAGACGTCAGATACACGTTGACAACAGCGTCAAAGAAAATGACGGGCAACAGGATGGTGCGTTCCAGTCCGATACTGCAGACATCATTTTCCTTGTCGTACCGAGACCCTCGACTAGCAGAGCAACAGGTGTTAGTGTATGTTTCGGGGACAGAGCATGAGAATACTTACGAGACAAAGTTGAACGTTGCTATAATGCCGTATACAGCTAATGGCAATCAGTCAGGGATGTTGGCGACTGGGCTCGGAACATGGACATACCCAGCATGACAAACGCATTGAATACATATAATTTGGACTTGAGACGAGACTTGGTAGTGCCTCGGATAACATGCTAGTCAAGGCGTTAGCCGTGATTGAGATCGGGGGGTTATTTGGGGTAGAGTTTTACCGCTTTATCAACCATGAAAAGGTAGACGAGCTGATTGAAGAGTCAGATTGGCCAAGATTCAACGATTGGGATTGAAGCCTGGAGGACCAGTAAACGTACGGCCTGTGACGGATTTAGCAATGATACCAACGACGGACTTGATTTACAACTTACTTTAATTACGACGTAGGCAGTCAGACACAGTATGCCCGCAGCTGAACATGGTATGAAATCCATGCGAAGCTCAGCCAGAAATAAAAGCTGGAAGACCCATGATCCGAAGACGAAAAGGCACGAGAAGAGGTAGGTGAATAACACAACTGCGACATGTTCTTTTAGCCCAAAAGGTTCCAGACTCTTTTCGAAATGTCACCCCTTACGCCATCTTGTCCATGGCAACGGACGCCAGTCTTTAATGGCGGACCACTGGTGACCTTGAAAGCCATTAGATCTTGCCGATAACCTAGCAGCAACGATTCCCTCACGAAGTAGGTATGCCAGGAGGCAAGACGATATAGGTGCGATAATGAGGCTGATGATCTGCTCGGGGCGGATCTCGTGTTTCGGGCTGCTCGACGTCTCGATGACTGTGGAGTCGATGTCGTCCATCTCGAAGAGGGGATTCGCCAAAGGAGTGTCACGGTGGAGGAGGACCTCTGACCTCTTGTCGATGCCGGTGTCCTTCAATATCAACGCTGGGTGACATGTGCTGAATGATGAGATCCTGAGATCAATGGGCCATGGAACGTATCAGCTGGCGTGCCTTGGTATAAGTAGATTTCGGATTGACGAAGGTCAGATGCGGCCGAGTGCACATGTAGGGAGGCTTCAGGTTTGAGGCGTTGCTAATGGGCTCCTGTGCAGTAGGGTTGGACTGCCATTCGTGGATTAGGTTCTGAAGGAAGCCTTACGACGGTGTTATGACTCGCTTTTGGGTTTGGGCTACTTCAGTCGAATATTCAGTCTGGCCTGTCGATGGTATTTTTTCAGATGAGCTTACCGCTTTGCTGGCACCGTCATCCTCGTAACTGTCCCAAGAAAGTGGCCATCAGACTGGGGGAGCTTACAGTAGAGATCTTGCGGCAGCCAAAGCCAAGACATTCGGGTATGAGCTCTTCTACAGTGCTGCCATAGCGCAAACCGGCGCGCATGGTGTCCGGCATCTACCTTAACCGCGAATAATGAGTATCCCCAGCGGTCGAAGTCCAGAGTGTTTTCTCACATCCGGACATTGCTGGAGGCCGTCGCTTGAATTATTCGCCGCAGCCAGCAAATGCAGCATACTTGAGACGATCGTCACTCCAAGGGGCTAAACTTCGCAGGGTACGGTAGCAAGCTGCAGAAGGACCGCCTAAAGCCTTTGGAGAAACTAGTAATAACGAACATCTCCTAATGTTTCGTCTTGTATCCTCACCAGAAAGATTCTCGCGAGGAATTCAGCGATGCCTGCCGAGCAGAGTGCGTGGCACCCCCATCCCACACTTGTATGGTTTCCATCTCCCCTAGCAGCCCGTTTCTGTACACCGGGGGAAACTTTAAGCCCCAAACGGGATCATTCAAAGAGACAGAAACGGGCCTAAGCTCTGCAGTGGAGAAGTTGCGAGCCAATCGAGTGTTTGGACTGCTTGTGAGGAGTGAGTGTCATAGCTCCTGTTAGCGGCGATTGATACATCAACCCGATGTAGTTCTGGATCTAAATCCATGGCATGCGGCCCGTACGTGAGTTTCTCGGTCCCTCATCTGTGGAGGCGTCAACATCCCACATAAGCCTTGGAATAATCATATTCCAGTCCCTTTGTGTGCAACAGTAGTATCTCGTGGGAGATACTAGGAACGTCCCTGATTCCCCTGCGTGGTGACATGCGCTACGCTAACCGTAAGCTCCGGTTGCTCCGCTCAGTATTCCCTACCAAATAATCTAGCCTTCATTTGCGGTCTACGGAGCGGTCCCCTGGGACAAATTCGAGCCCTTATTCATTGCCAAGGACACAACAGTCTGAAATCGTGTGTCTGTTGTTCTGCATTCAAATACTTCGTTTTGATAGCATAAGTGCGTAAGTAGGCGTCAGTCCTTCGACGGGTCAGCCGGCACTGTGCCGCCGGGGTTCTGGCCGCATGGCTTTTTGTGGCTGATTTGGCTTCAACGGTTCTGCTGACCGGGCAGACAATATCGTGATGCACGAGGTGCTACTGCGCGTCCTGCCCGTTGTTATGCGTCATCGGCACGTTTTCAGGTGCAGGCAGAGATGTAACACACTATACGAAAAATGGCAGGTTTCCTCGCGAGGGCTCCCTCACCCGTATGCATCGTACCACTCGACACCGAAAGGTTCAACTTCTAGAACGTAGAAGATTTGCTACCATGAGAGACGGGGAACCGCTGCATGTTTTCGTTTTTCATCGAGTATTGACATCCCAGAAATTTGGTACACCACAAGCAGAGTCTCAGTACAAAGCTCAAGACGAAGCTTTCCATGATGGAAGCGCCGACAAGACTGGGCAATCAATGAAACGGTCTAAAAACCGGCACACGGCCTCCGGAGCGTGGTCCAGCAACGCATCAAGTTGTAGAGCATTTTCTTCAGGTGGCAGCTGCACCAAACTCAGCCTCGGCTTGAGTCCTGGGTTCTCCCGACTTTCTCGAACTCTAGTTCGGATTCTCCCGACGGGTCGGAGTCACTTACCCTTGCCGTGGGAGGGGCACTGGGGGATCGGAGGAGAGGGTAGCGCAGAGGTGGACACAAAGAACTGCTGTCTTGGCGTCCGGGGCACCCCCACATCGGCACCCAACCTTGGTGAGTCGGGCTCCTGGGCAGTTGATTCGGTTTCGCACCTGGTACTGAGCGCCGCATGCTCTAGGATTTGGTCTGTTTAGGCTCTTGCGGACCTTTCCTAGGGCTGAGGATCACTTCAGGCCGGCAGCAGGCCAGTCCGTGGTCAGAACCAGACTCTCCACAGACCCTTTGGACACTTTACTTACCCTTTTAAGAATACGTATGCGGTAGCTCATTGGTGGGAGTAAATTGCCGTCCCGATTCTGTTTTGTATAGTAGTGATAGAGGTAGAGTCGACTTGGTGTCTGGAACGTGCTCTTTTCACTGATAATGTGTGGGCAAGCTTATCAGCGGGTTATTGTTATCAACGGACGACAAACTATCTCAGACCAGCCGCTGTGCGATGACGATCTAATTCGTATCTGCCTTCACATACTCAAGTAAAAGTTGACGGCAGTTGATTGACAGGAGATACTGCGGTTCCTTGATCGTGATGATCCCCTCTCCCCCGTGACGAGGGCAGGTTATCGACCATCCTCAATTCTATGCCTTACGCTCTCGCAAGAGTCTAGACTTCGCCTGACTCGCATTGATGTGACAGCGAGACTTGCACTCGAGTAAGAATACTTTACCATTTTAGGATGTGCTAAATCCCGCTATCCCGGCAGGCTTCTGGGCCGATGTTTGAGCCGAGCCGGCGTTGTTGAGAAGCGCGGTGCAAATGCGAGCTAGTACACGAAAAGGTCATATGTTTTTGGCGACTAATGAGCCTTCTCCTTTCATGTCTCCTGCGTGGTATACGATGAAGTACGCCTGTCGCTTACCCTGGTTCATTCTTCTGAAATAAACAAGTACTTATCGACAAGTACGGCCTTTCTTTCCCTGCTGTGAACACCTGGGGTTTCTGCCTTTCTCGATAACGCGGGTCTCAAGCGGCTCGTAGGTACGATATCTTGATATTGCGGTACTCGCAAATAGATGCGCAGGGTCTAAAGTAGTAATGGCAGGCCGTACGATTTTACACCGGGATGGTGGCACACGAAAGTGATTCATATTCTAGAACCCCCAGAACTCCATGCACAATACATTCTCTAAACTACATTGGACCTCACTATTACTGGTGAGCCTCGCTTCTTTCTCGCAGATCGACCGGCCCTGTCCCCGATCTCAACAATAACGTTAGGTGGATACATATTGTTTGTAGTTTTAGCGGCACCTTTGTTTTGAAGAAACCATCTAGGCGCGTCGAAATTGTCACAGGACATGCGGCAAAGTGCGGTCGGCGCTTGGTGAGGTGCAGAAGCGTCACTGCCACAGACCGCAATCTACTACTTAGTATGCGCTAGGGACGTGTAAGTTTGTACCTCTAATCTGATGATGTCCGAGAGCTGTCAAAGTTTACTAGACGTGCAGTCGGGGCAGTGAAAGTCGGCGTGTCGTCCAAGCGGCAGTGCCGTGAAGTTAGGCCGACGGTCTGCTTGCCAGTAATCGTTGGTTGAAGAGAACGGGCTCAAAGTGGTTCACGATGCGCAAGGATGGAATCTTCGGCCTGAAAACGCATGATGCTCGAGTCATCCCGATTGACCATTCTATGAACTGATTAATTCAAGGCACTTGCGACGTTCTGTCGTAAATTCTTTGCATTTGGCCAGCCCAGAACCCGGTCATGACTTCCAAATCTGTAGTACGTATATCAACTCTACTTAATTACCAGTCAATAGTATGGTTTGTTTACAGAAAGCTCAACAGCCAAGCCCGGTGGAACGCCATTCATGATCAGGATTCCCAAGGCTCCAACCAAGCCGAATGAGAATTAAAGTGCAGGCATTTATACCGAAGTTTCCTATTGTGGGTAAACATTCGCTAGGGACCACTGGTAAGCAGGATTACTGGAACTATCGATGAAGTTCGAACTTAATGGGGAGTTGGCTCCTTGCGCTAGTATCTCCGGTGTGCGAAGTCAAGAAGTAGGTCACACGTATCCCTTTCGGGAACTTCTAGGGCTTCAGTGACCAAGACTCCGCCAGCTTTGTAACCTTGAGTTTCGAACCATTATGCCTTACTCCTAACTGAAACAAAGAGATTCGTTCGCTCACATAGCTAATCCTAGGTTTCAATAACTGCATGTGAGATCAGTTCTGAGAGTTCATCTCCTAGTCCTGTCACATTTCTGGGATGAGATTGCTGCATAACTTAGCATTAATTCAGGTCATTGTGAATTTTCTCACTGATTCCCTGTTTATTAATAACGGAGTATACACAGAATAATGGATAAACACTTCAAGCTTAAAGTCACAAAAGAAAATGCCTACATTCTCAACATCGCATAATCATTTTGACCAGAGCTAGTGGGTCTTAAACTATGCCTCATTTGCTCACGAGCAAACGTAAGGGCATAATTCTGGGTCAGGTAATAATACGGCTATACATTCAGACATGCGACAATAGGCACGAAATACCACTCCTGCGTTACCTGTGAGGAGTCCCGCGCCTCAGCAACCCTAGATGGATAGAGAATAAGGCATATCGAGTTATTTGAAAGCGAATTCCGGGGCATGTTTGATCGATCGAACTAAATGCTTCTTGCGAACAGTATATCTTCAGAATAAAGCACTCTCATACTTACTTTAGTCATTTCTGAACGACAAAGAAAGAATCCTTCTGCTCAGTATCAGCTACTATGAAATACACCCCCTCACTAATAGAAGAGCGATGTCCTTGCAAACTGTCACGATACCCTACTTTCCTCATGTACTCAGAACAACAAGTCTAAATTAATAGTATTCGAATAGAGATAGATTTTATTGCACAAGTAGTACTTTCTGGATATTCTCAGATCAAGAGGAGTAAGTCTATGACTCAACGCAACGGATGACAGTCATGTGAATTGAACTCGCCGACATTCTTTATCATTCTGCTTGGCTCATATTGAATTACAAAATCACTACATGCTCGATATGTTGCAAATGACTACCTAGCGTGCATTTGTTATGCTTGTGTGTAGTCAAGGCCTCAGTGCGTTCGTCTATGCGACCTGAACACACCCATTTTCTCGCACGGGTGACAAATAGTTGCAGGGCACGCTTCTTGCCTTCCGGTGGGATATCCAACTCACCTGCCTGGGCAGCCGAGATATGGTTCCAAACTCGCCTCAGATTGCCGAGGGTTGTATCACGGGATAGGATGAGGGATAGGCATGGCCAATTCGGTGGGTTTGGACTAGCTACGCGAAAGATACTAGATAAACTTCGAGAATGGCGTGTATCAGATTCACCGCAAAGCCTTTGCCACGGTCTATCAATACAACGTTCCATTGGTCCTAGGAGACGTATGAGCTATGGCAATACCAGGCTACCCACGAGAAGACTATGAGTAAGCTGTTAAAGCCTGAATTCGCTTCTCACGGGCTGTGAAATGTATAATGTT